GTTATTGATAATATACAATTTACGACTTATAAAAAACACTCGTAAATCTTATTTTTGTCATTTAAATAAGAACGAGTTATTATTTATACTGAATATTTGAAAATGTACTGATGTAATACGTAACAAGAAATAATAATGGTAAGATGTTGAAATACAGGTCATGCACTTAACTACGTTACTGAAAGACAATAAATTTATGAACGTAAAGGGGCATACAATATCATACGGTCATGAAAGAGAAACGATTTTTGGTTTTTTATATGTTATAGTAAATGTTTTATTGTTAGCGAAATATTTATGGCATCCCGTGGACAAATAAAAACGTTTGAATCGGAGTTTTAATTATCACATAATGATTTTAGTAGCTAAATTTATATTTGAAATGTCTATTAGTCTATCCATATATCTATACTATATTATGAAAAAAATAATATTGTTAAGCCAAAAATTAATTACATCATTATTTGACCTAAGGGGCTGTTTGGCTGTTGCTGAATGATTTGGTACAGAATGGTTAAGTGGTCAGAATGATAAAGAGGGCCAGAATGGTTAAGTGCTGAATGAAATAATGTTGTTTGGTAACTGTTATCTGAATGACAATAAATTACCATTTTAACCCTGACAAGGGCAAAACCTCAAAATCAGTAAAACAGTAAAATTAGGGCAAATCAAGCAAACTACAAACTGAAAACYAACACTAAAATTAGGGYAAATCYAGCAAACTACAAACTACTTTGAAGGCTTCGAAGTTGAAGGCACAAAATCATTAGGGTTTATATCTGAATCACAAAATCGATGACCTGAGCAGAGGCGGAGAGAGCGAGGAACGAGGATCTCGTGTGGGAGGAGAGAACGGCGGGAAGCAGTAGGGGCGGCGACGATCGTGGGGGGGGAGACGGCCGGCGAATGGAAGACCGACGATGGGAGGGGGAAGACGGCGACCATGGAACCGACGAAGGAGGGGGGGAAGACTGCGACCATGGAGGGGGATGCGATGTGAAGAACGAACATGGAGGGGGATGCGACGAAGGAAGGGGGGAAGACGGGTTGAGAGGGTAAAGTTGGAAAAACCAACATCTGAATGGTTGAGTGGAGCTCTAAGTGCAAAATGGTTAAGAGGATATTGTAACCATTAAGAGGTTGTTATTTTTTTGCCAAACAGCTTCTGTCTCTTAGCGATTAAGAGGCTCCCTCTTAATGTCACCATTAAGAGGGAAACAAACAGCCCCTAAATTATATTATAAAAAAAATTTAAATAAAGTGTACAAAAACAATAACTTTTGAATAGTTAATTTGATATTAATATCGATATATTTTTTTCAAATTTTCATGATGTCTTCAAATTTATTTTTATTCAAAAGTAAAAATATTATCTTTATCAAAACCACATAAACCGTATTATATCAACAAAGACGAAAAATAAAACGAAATATTAAAATGAAGATGAATCTCGCTGCATTGCGCGAATACTAATATATATATATATATATATATATATATATATATATATATATATATTGCATCCCATGCCTAACTCAACTTGTATTTAAGCCATACAAGAAAGTAACATGGCCAAATTGCTCCCCCCTTCCATAAATTACTAGTTGTGTACCCGCGCAATGCGGCGGGAGCCATTAATTTTAACGATTTTGAAGTTCTACTGATTTTATAAGATAAGATTTAATGATGATATAAGTTACACTTGGTCTTTACATATTAATACAATTTGAATAAATAAGAGTTATGGTTCCAATTACAGACTATCAATGAAAAAAATTGTATGACAGTTTAAAATCCAATATATTTAAAATCCAATATATTTAAACGAATCCACAAATGTGTTCGATTTACACCAAGAGCAAAGAACCAAGAAACTTGAGTTTTAAKATAAACACTCAAAATCAATAAAGAAAACTATAAATTTGACATATCATAAGCCATGAAAAGACAAAAAAAAATGGGTTTTATAATGAAATTTCAACTGTTTACCCTCTTTCTTGTCCAGAAACTCAGATTAAGGTTGAATTAATACATGTATATATATATTTCAAAAAAAAACCCAAGAACATATTAATTCAAAACATATTATACAATGCAATTTGGATAGCCTAACTCCAAAATATAGAGTATATATATATAAATAAATAACTATAAAAATATAAATCGTAAATATTAAAAATATTTTTTCATAGTATATATAATATATAAATATAATTAAGTCAAAAACTATTCAATATTGGACTCATTTCGAATGTATTAACGAGACGATTATAATGGTGTAACTTGTTAAAATAAAAATGTATTTTTTAAACATGTTTTAATTGATATACGATTATGTATGTTAATTTGATAAAGGTTTAAAATGAAATATTTAAAAGTAAATGACATAAAGTAAATTAATTAATTAATTATAGGGGTATAAAGTGTAAATTTAAAATTATAATTTAAAAAAATGGGTTGTGAGAGGGTGAGTGTATGTGAGAGGGTGAGTGCATGTGAGGAGAGAAGATGGTGAAAAAGTGAAAAAATGAGTATAAAGGGTATTTTGGTCATTTAGAATTTTAAGACTTTAAGACTTTTGCTAAATTTGCTTAATAAGATAGTATAGATATACATTTATATAAAGAGAGACCAAGAGGACTCGTTTATTATACAAAACCAATATATTGTAACCAACCATACAAATTAATATCAACCGTTCATCTATCTAATCTAATGAATATGTAATTTCAATAAATATATTGATTGTATTATAATATAAAATATTGATCATCATTAATAATAAACTCAAATTATAATAAATGAACTTTCATAATTTCCATAAACATCTAAATTGATTGATTTGTACAATTTATAATAATAATAAATGGTTTGTATTTAAAACCTATTCTCTCTCTTATATATATATATGGAAAAAATTCCGGAAGAACCCTGGAAAAAAAACCCTTTGATGACGCACTTTGATCTGATAGACCTAATGAACGTGATATTATTTTACAGAATTTTTAAAAAAAAATAAAGGATATGAGTAAGCATTATGAAATATAAGAAAAGGGATAAATACGATGATCATTTACCTTGAATATCTTTTCCTTTGCGGGTATTTTATTTATTTATTATTATCCTATTAAAACAAGATAATATTAAGGTCTTGTCTATTTAAAGAAAAAACTTTATTAGCTTCTTATGTTTAATTAGTTAAGAGGTAGGATCATTCAAATAGAAACTATTTGTTTTTTCCAATTTTTCAGAAGTACTTATGTTTTATTCACCTTTTATCTGATAAGAGATAACCCAACTTCTTATTTGCTCTTATTGTTCTTCAAACTCTTAGCAACGACTTTTCTTAATCAATTAAACTTAATCGATCATTTCTCTCAATCAATCATTACCCAATGCATCATCACATGTCTCAATTGATGTATTTTAAATGTGTTAAATACCGTTAATGTCATTTTTCCTTTTAAATGAATGTTAATTACATAATTTAGATGTAAATTTCGTAATGATGATGAATAAAGATGTGAAACTGTACAAATTTATCTATAAATTTAATACTATAATTTTCTAATGCATAAAATAAACAATTTATACAAAATCAGACATTTATCAATTTATAAAAACAAACAGTTATTAATTCAAATTTTAGATTTCAACACCACTTCTTATTAATCAGAAGTAAAATAAGACTTCAGACTTCAACACATTTTAAAAAACAAATTTCACCTAACAATATCTATGTTTTAAAAACAGATTTTATTATATTTTATAAATGGAGACTAACCATTTAGCTAAAGCATGTGCTTGATTTCAGCTTCAACGATTAAGCGTCAGAAAGTCGTCTATTTTTTTTAATATTAAATAATTCATCTAGAAATTTGTTTATTTTATTTAAGAATAAATAAATCGGATACTATTTTGACCCAGAAACAAACATAGATGTGTTTTAAGGAAATCTTCAATGGGTATCGTTAAATCTGAGACCAAATAACTATTTAGGTCGTGTTTTATGTAGTTTAAATTCGGACGTTTTTAAGGCTCTTTGTAGCCATGGAGGACTGTGATGACTTCAGATCATTCATGATCATCAAGTAATTTATATTTTGCACGTAAGATGACCCGAAAACTCACCGTCACCCACAAAAGGAACAAAACTTTTTGAGATAATAAATGATAATGTGGTGTAAATATATTCAAATGGGTAACACTAAAAAAGGTAAGATTGTAGGTATATTTTTTTTAATGCTTTTTTATTGACGCAAATAATTAGCATTACACAAAATTTGATAGTCCTTGAATTAACTAACTATTTTTCTCATTTAAATTGAATTTTTAACCATTTTTCAATCGGGTTGACCCAAATGTCACTAATTTTACAATATCCATTGCAGACCTAGCTTAGGGCCGAAAAAAAATTCAAATTCAACACATAACGCAATTGCGACTGTAAACTAGTTGAATTTGACATTTTTTTTGTGTTTTAGCTAGGTCCGCAATATTTCGGAGTTGGATATTGCGGACCGGATGCAGTGACATTTGAGTCAAATAAGAAGAGATGATGATTAGAAAGCCAATGAGACTTGAACTAATTTCTCAATTTGATATCCCCAATTGAAGTATTTAAATATAAGATTTATTGTTTTCATTAAAAGATGGTATAGGTTCCAGTTTCATTTGCATTAAACTAAACACATGAAACAGGTCAAACTTGATCGATTTGACCAACGAATTCCTTCATATCCTGCAAGTGGACAACGGAAATTAGGATGATAACCTAACTTACTAGGGTATGAACAATTACTCACTTCCAAATAATCAATCATTGTATCATATTAAATCAAACACCATTATTCATTTTCATTCTTATTTACATTACATTACTTATCATTGTATTGTATTGTATTGTATTATATAGATTGCCGGTGAATAAGCTCACAATCTAGTCACGGGAAGGTCCATCTGATCCAACCGTCCCGGTCTTTTGACCATAACTAATCAGATTTCTTCCGCGGATCGACATAACAATTACAATCAGCAAATTCAAAGTACAAATAAGTGCATAATATTTGGGAACAATAAGAAAGTCAAATCTAGTAAACAAAAAAAGGCCACTTAAAAATGTCAATATGAACTCATAAAATCATAACAAAATACATCTTTTTAACAAATTACCAGCACTCAAGCAACTACAGCTTCAGTCATTTCTTGTTCAACAATGGCTGGTTCAACAGGATAGTATGAGTAGTGAAGTTCCCCAACATCATCACCCGATAGCTTCGTCCATCCAGTCGGTCCCACGTGATAAACTGAAAAACAAAAACACCAATTTACTTCCCAAATCATGGATGTTGCATATGTGTAGATACCTGGTATAGAGCCTAGCCTCCCAGGTAGAGATGGAAATTTTACCCGAACCCAACGGGGCAGGGACGGGGATTTATTTTCATACTCGAAGCAGGTTCGGGGGATGCATTACCCACTCAATACCCGCCTTGTTTCCATCCCCCACTCCCAGGAGGTCAATGGCTCAAACCTCACCAAAAGGATAGCAAGAAGTGTGCGTGAGTATTTGTCTTATTTAAATATTATATGCTTCAAAAAGAAAAAGGAAATGTACCGCTAGCAACACCGCCACTAGCTCCATCACGGAATGTCGCATGATAGATGGATCTTCTAGCCAATTCAGCAGCTTCATCGATCGTCATATCATAGTGGTACCTACCAGATTCACACAATCAACCTTTAATTGCATCATAAACTAAAGAAAATACTTCAGTATTAAAAACAGTATGATGGCAATTACTTCATAGCATATATGGTGAAGCTAACATATGAAAACAAGATTCTTTAAAACATCGAGTTCTGGGTGGAAGACAGGGGCGGACCCACATGGAATGATACGACTGCACGGCCCATCACTTCATGGTTCTGTCATATGGGAAAAAATTTCGTTTCTGAAGAGTGCCACCATATTGTTCTGTTGGGTGCCACCATATAGTTTTTTGAAACTGAAATGTTAGCACAAGACATTAATGGCTAAGGGGTTGTTTGGTTGGTTTTGCCTTAAGTACTGTATGGATAAAGCTGTCTGTGTGGATAATCCGTCTATATAGATTGCGAAGGTTTTTGTTTAGGAGAGTTTTTTCATAGATGGAATGAGTGTGTTTTCTAAGTGGGAGAGACAAGTTTTGAAAATCTTGGCTTTCTGCATAAAGCTTCCTCCTAGAAGCTTACTGAATAAGTCACTTTCTATATCATTAAGCCACTAGCAAACCATCACATATAGCTGACTGGAATAAGTTGCGAGTCTCATTAAGCTCTTAACCAACATCCTCTAAGATGGTAAATGTTCCTGCCTATGTATAAAAGGCCCAGGTTCGAGTCTCAGTTGACAAATTTGCTGTTTTTTAACTTAAATTTTGGTGTTTTTTATATACCTCTTGTGTTTCTAAAAATATATGTAGACCGGACTTGAATATGGGTCTCTTCTATGTTAAGGACAAGGAACCAACCAACTGATCTATACCAATATTGTGAAGGAAAAGAAATTGATACTTTTAATAGTCAAATTGTGCCACCACTTGAAAAAATTTCTAGGTCCGCCTCTGGTGAAAGAGGTAGGGAGGAGAGGTGGGGCGCTCACCCGCTATCCAATACACCATAAGCATATGGTGAACCAGACCCAACGGAGAATTTTGTACCCTTCAGGCGTCCTCCTTCGCTGTCGACATAATACAGACCGGGGCCCTACAAATATAATATATGCAACAAGCTTCAGAATGACATTGGGAAGGCCAAATATCACACAAGCATCAATATATAAATCATATACCTTCTCGTCCCATCCTGCAATCATTGTCCCAACAGACAAACCCATTCCACGATAAGAGTAAAGAATGTTTGCCAGCAACTTTGAAGCGCCCGTCACCGAAATCCTTCTCTTGTTAGCCAATTCATGCAAACGGCACTGAAATAAGAAATACAAGTATTTGTTAACACACAATATATATTTGCTTATATATTTATTCAAATTTCAGCAAGCACCATGGAACTTGACATTCTAGACAAATTCCATATCAGAAGTTTTTAGGGACAAATCATCACTTGATCAATATATCCCAATGAATATGTGTCTGTTTGTTTATCTATATATGGCACAAAAGAGTATGTGGTATGGAGCTAGTCAACATATTTCAAGAATCCAAATTACTCTTTGATGCTTTTGTAGGAAACATAACAAGATTAAAATGGTTTTTTCTATGATTCAAATTGTTCATTCAGCACAAAAAATAAACTAACAGTT